ACCAGTTGAGTGCTCAGGCCTCTGTCCTCACCTCCGAGTTCAGAAGGGAGGGCCACTTCACTGGGTGTTAGATCCCAAGGACGGCAGAGCAGGTGAATGTCCTCGGGGGACAGGCTGTGCCACAGGCAGAGGCTAAGGAGGAGACGTCGCCCTTTCCTTCCTAGCTACCTGGGCCCTAGTTGGAACTCATTTTTTTTTCCTGACAAATCAGCACTTTGGGCAGGCTCTGTGGAGGGGAGAAAGGAGCAAGCAGCAGGTGGTGCTGGGTGGCGAGAATGGCGCAGGCCCTCGTGAGTCCCTGGTGACCACTCTGCTCCCTGCACCAAGAGCTGGGCTCCTGCATCTTTGGGACCAGGTGGGCAGCTAACCTCCAGAGCACCCCACAGGAAAGGAGCAGCAGCTGAGTCCTCAGCGACTGCCACCCAAGGAGAAGCGGGCTCTCCATTGACAGGGTGGCCCCGAGTCTCGGATGGAGCAGCTTCGGGCTGGAACCCCTTCTCCGGCAGCGCTCCCCACACGTCAGGCCAAGCTCCGCGTATTTTTAGATCAGTATTTTTGCAAAAAGCTTGCTCTTATTCGTTCAGAAACAGCGAAATGTCATTTTCGGCCAAACATTTTCTAGGTTTTCCTTCTGAATTATTGAGAACGGGTTTCAGTGTTCGCTTTTTTTTCCCTTTTAATATGTAACTTCAGACCCTGGGGGAGGCAGTATCCTAGCGATTTATAACAATTAGGCCTTTTCTAAAAATCAATCTAAAAGAGAAAGACAAAAATGGAGACTCAACAAACCCCTCCAGAGTGGATGGGCTCACTGACCGAGAGCGAAGGCGGGGCCCTTGCAGAGAGCAGAGTGGGAGTCCGACATGGCGGGGGCACAGGAGCCGGGGCTCGGCCACAGGCCTGGCGACGCTGCTGTGCCACACTCGGGGGACTGGCTGGGCGAACACCCACAGGGCTCTCGACACGGCTTGCTTCCTGAGCTCTGGGCCAGTGGTCCTAGACTGTGGGGTGTAAAACTTGCACCAGGAAGCAATCTGGGGCAATGACACCGGCTAGGAATGGACGCACGAAGGTCTTCCCCAAAAGCCAGTACCTGTGACCTCCCACGACCCTGTCAGCCCACAGAGCCCGGCGAGAATGCTCCACAAGGTCCAGTCAGCCCCCACCTGGTGGGTTCGGTTCAGAACCTTTGCTCCCTCCTGGGCTTGAGCTGCTTATTATTAAGAGTTACTTAAAATCCAGAGGTCCTATCACCTCAAGAAACTTCTTTCTCACCAAACGTGGAAGTTTGTTTCTGGCTAGTACCTTTTCATGATCGCTGTCACAGCAATGACAAACTGGGCAGAGCAGCAGGCAACAACGTGGGGCTGCCCTGGTTCCCACTGCCACTGTTGTCGGCCTCTAGCCTGGAATGATGTCACTGAACAGGCTGCTGCCGCACCTGCATGGGGTCTCAGAAGCAAGGTGCTGGCTGTGGCCAGCGATCCCAGGCCACCACCGTGACTTTTACCTTCCAGGGAGCTGACGGGCTCGGGGCGGGGGGGGGGTGGTGTCTCTGATTAGTTTGGCACTGATGGACTGGAGACGTGCCATTTCTAGGTGTCTGCCAAAAGAAGGGAATTATACTGGGCGGTGGCCCAGTGTCCCCAGTTCACTGCAGTGTCAAGGCTGAAATTCCACTGGTTAGGAGAAGCCCACGGCAGGCAGGCAGGGCTGGGCGTCGTGGGAGGGGCTTGAGGATACACAGAATTCTGTCGAGAGAGGAGGTAGTAACTAACAACTAGAACGAGGGTTGGGAGACTGGACGTGACTGCTCTGTGAGCTAGACCCGCGGAGATCTGAAAGCTTTCAATTTCGGTATTCTTCGCACAGTCCCTAAAACCCTTCATGGTGTTCAAGTACACACGAAATCGAGGTCGCACCCCAAACTGGGCCGGACACAGCTGGTGAGAACCCCAGGGCCTAGGTTTTCCCTCCAACCTCCCACCACCTGACTCCAGGGCAGGGGCGGCATGGGGGCTGCAGGGCCCCTGCCTGCCAGGTTGACAAACCACCAAGGCGACTTGCTTAAAGGTGACTCACTCGTGATGCCTTTATTTAGGGAAGAGGAAATGTGGGAAGGGGGGGGAGAGAAAACCCTAGGGAGCCTCAGGCACTGCCTGCAGCTTTGGAGTTCTAGGGGAAGAAGCTGGGAGCTAGGGGGCTGCAGCTTGGGCCGGCCAGAAAGAAAACGACCCTTGCAATGCTGTGTTCTCAACCACCGATGCGCAGTCAGCCCCTGAATGAACTGTCGTGGGTGAAACGGGGGCCTGGCGGGCCCCGCACTCCTCTTCCCAAGACCAGATGGTACCGAGCCAATGGGGAGGCCAGCTCCTGACACTGGTCCCAGGAGCCACATTTCACTGGACCAGGTATAACGCATAAAATCCCGACTGACCACAACGGATGGCATCTCCATGACAAACTGGCTGGATGCCGCGCTCGCGTGGATAGGTGTCTTTTGGGGATGCCGGGAGTGCAAGGCCACTGTGGGGTCAGGAGCCTTTTGTCCTTGGAGGAAGAGGGGTGTCCCGAAGGACTCGCCCCCTCCTCTGACCCCCCTTCCCTTCCTGGGGAGGAGTCAGAAGTGAAGCCCAGAGGGTCGACAGCAGAGCGGGGTTGGTTGTGGGAGTTGCTTTTGCAGCATAAGGAAATGGATACAAAAATGCTAGAAAGGTCAACTATGACTCTACGAACAGAATGGGGCAAACTCCCTTGCTTCTAACCATTCCGGAAGAGACAGACACGGTTTTTTCTTAAGCTACTGATCGGAACTGTCAACTATGGTTCCCGATCACTAAGGACTGGCAGGGAAGCGCTAGACGGTTTCTAGGATGTTGTACTCCTTCATGGTTACACCGCAGTAAGGAAGCCAGGGGACAATAACTGAAATACACGAGACAACACGCACTTGACAGTTCATGGCAGCAGCTCACATGGGACGTGCTTGTGGGTGTTTCTGGAAGCATAAGACTGCTGTCTCATTTGCTACTTTGATAAGGTACTTCTCAGTTGGACAGATTTAGATATAAGAGACATCTCTGTAAACACAGAAAAGGATATACCAATATGATGAAGATATGCAGCTAGGTAAGGACTTCCTGAATGGAGAGGTTGAAAGGATGGGATCCCACAGCCAACCCAAGTCTCTAGGCCCCCACACCACACCCCTGGCGCAGACGTGGAAATGTGTGGTGTGTGGCCCTGACCCGGCCTCCAGCAAGCGAAAGCCAAATGTTTCCCAAACGGAAGTCTGGTTAATGGAGGAGCCTGGGTGGGCGGAGAAGGGGGGGCCCTAGGCGCTGGTCCCAGCTCAGGTCTGGGGGCATCTGCCTTTGTTCCGCCTGCTGCCCTGCGGCACTGCACTGCGCGAGCCGGGCCCGGCAGAGACTAAGGTCAGGGCTGGGCCTCTCGATGACTCTGGCAGGCCACGGGGGTCTCTGTGCTGCCCTCAGCTCCCCAATCCAAATCTGGTCCAACTCCTCCCACCCGTTTCTCCCGAGTGGAAGGCTGAGGGGGCCCGGTGTCTGGGCTCTGACCAGGAAAGGGGGGGGGGGTCCCTGGGAGAGCGACACCGTGCCGCTCTCTTGCCCTTCAGAGAGGCTGGGGCGCCAGGGCCAGGTTCTCGCCCTTCAGCAGAACCAGAGCTTCCTCGGGGTGCGGGGCGGGGTGGGGCTGGGGCCGGTGGCAGGAGGGCCAAGGGCGGGGCGAGTTCTGGGGGCATGAGTTGACCAGCATCGGCTCGGGGTACAGGTGGGCACTGTGACTGCTTGGAACAGAAAGGATGAATGAGGAGGAAGAAGCGGGAGGGAAGAAAGGAGAGGATGAAATGATGGAAGAGAGAGATGGAAGGAGAGAAGAGAAAGCGATCAGGAAGTCCTTATAAAATTGCAGCAAACACTTAGAGTTTCGGAGCTTCGTGGGAACCCTATGTGCTGAGCCCACTTTAAAACAAGCGCAGGTATCTACAGATCCAGGCAGTTCTAAACACCGTCGCGTCTGGTGGCTTGAGGGACAAAGTGTCACCAATTCAAGCCAGTTTGCTCTCAGAGCATGTTTGTTTTGAAGTGGGAACATGAAGACTCAATAGTGCAAATAGTTCTAAGCTGTCCCTAAGGAGTAGAATTGGAAAGTTTTGGAAGAACATTCTCCCCTCCTTCTTCCCCCTGGCCCCTGCCCCACTGAGCCTCTGCCAGTCAGACTGCTCTGAGCGACTGGGGTGCCTCCTGGCCCGCTGTGCTCTGCCGGTCCAGAGCCCGGCCTGCTGCCTGCGCCTCGTCCTGCCGCCTCCACGGCCTCTCTCTAGTGCCATCCACTGGAGGCCGGCCCTGGGCCATCCTCTCATCTGGCTCAGGCCAGTCTACACCCAGCAGCTCAAAGGACTCCCTCCGAGCCATGCCAGAACTGGAGCGAACAGGTGCTACTTCCCTGTCCTGTGAAATGTCCTTGTCGGTTTGGGATTGGGGCTGGCGTGGGGCCAGATCTGTGCCACCACAGGTGGGATCACACGGGCTGTAGCCACTGGCCATCTCTGTCGTCTTCTCTAAAGAATCCAACTGTCTCTCCTGCCTCACACCTCCTTGTCCCAACATGGGTGGGA